GAGAGAGAGAGGGAGGGAGGGGGAGATATGGGCAGCCAACCTGCAAGCAGACATCAGAAGAAACATCCTGCTCAAAAACTCCAAGGGATATGACAGGCAGTGAGGTGAGTATGACATTGAAGAGTAACATGTACCAGTCATCATAGACTGACTGCCCAGAGAAACCAGTGTACGCCTCGAAGTAAAAGAGTGTGAGCCCGAAAGCTATGTTCTTGTAGAAGAAATAACAAACCTGAACGCAAATAAGCCAGGGTTATTAGGTGTTAGATTTCAGTAATACATGGGCATTCTATGAAACCAGACAAAGCAATCAGAGTCTTACCATTTGGGCAATTCTCTTATAGCACCAATGGCCATGAACTACAAGCAGCCGCTCTAGAAACCGAAACTGTGCAATCGAGAAGTCACTTGCCATTACTGCCTGCACCGAGGCAAATAGTATGAGTTCTCCAGTAATTCTCAGCTTCATAATAATTGCTATAGATATTTTGCAGGTAGCACTAGATTTGTCATTTCTAATTCTCTAAAACACAGAATCTACTTTACCTCTTTCACTGTAATGAACAAAAAGATGGAAAATGACAATTAGAACATAGATATTCATCCCAAAATAACAAATGTTCTCCATTTTTTTTGGGAAGTTCACATATGCCTTCTATACCTACTTCTAAGGTGACCAGTTACAAGTCTATTTCCTGAGTGTTTAACATCAATCAGCCAAAATGCTACTTTATCCACCACATGATTTGCAACTCCTGCAGCACGTAATTGATAACAGCTCCTACATACATGACTGGTACATCAGTGGTCTATTTTGGAATTGTAGTAGAAAAACATGGATGCATCTCATGTTAGACGCACTTAAATATAAACCTCGGATACTATAAATACCATAAATTTGGTAATCAATATATTTCTTCTTGTGCACAATGTTTTATAAATGAACAATTTTGCGGGCTCGACTGCATTTCTACAATATGTGGTCCAGAGGTATAAAGAATCCATCTTAAAGATGAATGCAAATAGGTGGTCCATCTAAAAACAATTATAACTAATGTCCAAATGTTTTTTAATAGAAGTAATATTTCTAGTTTTCAAATTTTATTTATTTTTTCATATTCATGATCTCCATGTTAAAGATTATATATTCTTTATAAATTGGGATCAAATTATATTTAAAAAATATACTTATTGCCAAGCCCGCATTGGTACATGTGCGGGCTTGGCCGCATGCCACCTCCGCTCCCCGCCCCCCCCCCCTCGAAAAAAAAAAATCCAGTTTTCCTGCAGGATAGAGGTGTCCGAGAGGGCCCTCACAGTGGACCAACATGCAAAGAAGGGGATTCCAAATCCCAAACAGATGTATCTTGTGTACTGAAGCAGAGGAGACCAATGCCCATCTCTTTGCCCACTGTAAGGTGGCCTCATTTATTTGGGCTCAACTCCTACTGTTATTCCAATGGCAGTGTGTCACTCCACCTAACGTCCCGCAGCTTCTAAGTTCAACCTTCTCTACCCCATAGCCCAAGGCTGGAACCCTGCAGTGGAGAACTTCGGTGGCTGCCAGGTAATCTGGAATGAAATAAACGCCAGAATTTTTCGAAGTCAAAACTCATTCACGGAAGCTCTACTAGATCAGATCAAAGGAGCTGTCATTTTTTGGGCACCCACCACAAACACTTCAGTGGTCATTCCCATTCCGACTTCCTCCACAGTTGAACCCCATTCTCAGATTCAACCCTCAGAGGCCCCCTCGATCCTCCCTTTGGAGACCACCCGATGATGGGTAAAATGGCGATGTATAAAAAAAATTTGGCCTCTCTAGGCTCCTTGTATAGGGCACCTGTCTGTAGGTAGCCTATTTTCTTGTGTGGAACCTATGTGTGGGTACCCAGACCTCTTTTTCTTTATAATTCTTTTAGTTAATATAGAGTTAACATGTTAAAAAAAAATATACAACTTACAAGATTTTTTTACTGACATAGTTTCATCTACAATCAAGCTACAAGCTTTAACTTCATTATTCAGTAGGATGAAGTTCAAAACAACGCACTATCAAAGCACCAAATCAATGCACTACTAACCTGCATCCCTTCAACTCCACTGATACCGACACCAATGTCTGCCTCTTGAATCATACCAACATCATTGGCACCATCACCGATTGCTAAAGTGGTTTTACCAGTTCCTTCCTTTACAAGCCTGGTCACCTATGCAATGCCAAATTGGAAGATAAAAGCATAATAAGACCTTTGAATGACTAGTCAAAAAGAAATATATACATACATGCATATATATATATATATATATAGAGAGAGAGAGAGAGGGCAATGATTTCATGCAACGGTTGTATCATAGTATAGGGCAACGACACTTTTAGAAAACCATGTTTGTGGTATTTGTATGACCCAAAATTTTGCATACACACTCTCTTTATCTCAATAATCAATCCCAAAAAAAAAAAAGTTCAATTTGAATTCTAGATATGGTCAAAATGAGTCCCCTCCAACAACGAATGTAGACCATTCATTTGGTGAATTTCAAGATCTTCGCCTTTACAAAACTCAAAATCTTTTTGATCTTTTTTACCATTGTTCATCTAATCATAATAAAGCCATCTAAAAAAATTGGTAAAGAAAAAAATCCTTCTAAAGCCTAGATCTAAGTATCTCACCAAAATGGACAGCCTATGTTACTTGGGCCAAAAAAATACTTTCTAGGTTGTGTTTTCAATTTTTTCTTTTTTGTGATTGTTCATTAGAATGAAAATAGTATATATTTCAAAATTTGGATCAAATAAATAGCCCTAACATGGTTTTTGAAGGTTGCTATATCATATTACTATACAACCGTTGCATGAAATCACTGCCCATATATATGTGTGTGTGTGTGTGTGTGTGTGTGTGTGTGTGTGTCAATACGCATCAAGAGAGAGAAAGAGATAAAGGAATCTTCCACAGAAACTTACCAATGCTTTCTGCTTTGGTGAAACCCGACAACATATGACAGATGCACAATCTACTGCTAGATTCAGAAATTGATGCTTCAGATCATCCTCTAAGGCATAACTTAGAGTTTTCCCATCAATAATCAAAGCGAACGCAGCATGAGGATCCTTCTCCAGCTTGACCATTTGGGAAGAATTAGTGATTTGCAATAAGATGTTGTCCTTCACTGCCTGATCAGTCATTAAACAAAAGAACAGAGCCTAGCACGAAATCAACCACATGTCCAGGGTTTCAGGGGATGAATGAACATAGTACAATAAAATCTCACACGAAATTAACCTTGTTGGCATCTTGACCAAGCAACTCAGTGTTCATAGTGGTAATGCTTATCTGTTTCATGCCTTGACGGAGCAGACTGCATGCAAATCTGTGACATAACAGACCCAAATCAATATGCCACATTTTTGGCATAATTGAAAGAGAGAATATTGGTTTCTTATTTTTGCGGCATACCCAATGTTAATTGCTGTCTCCATCTTATCACCTGTCAGCACCCAGATCTTGAGGCCAGCTTGTGCAAGTTTATCTATGCATTGAGGAACCTTTGAAAGAGGAATAAGTTTCTATGATAAAAGGCATGTAGCCATTAAGAAAAAGGAGCAGATGTTATTTTTAATTGAGGAATTCTTGAAAATGAGACATACCCCTTTCTGTAACTTGTCTTCCACAGCTGTTGCACCAACAAGAATCAAATCTTTCTCCATCACGTCAGCAACTCTTTCAAGAAGAGCATCTCGATCAGGCCCTATGGTGGTCTTTGCTTTCACAAACTCGCTATTCCATACTGAGTATTCAGATTCCTCAAGTTTCTTATACGCAAGTGCCAATGTGCGTAAACCTGCTTCTCCATATTCATTCAGATGCTTAGATGTCACCTCCTCATACATCCTGCCATTCTTTGCAAGCCTGTCAAAGATGATGCTGCACAATTTTAAAGACGAAATTTTGGTTAGTGCTCTAAAGCAATGAGAGACCTGTAGATTAAATATATTTTGCTAAATCAGATCAAATACAAGTACAAGAATTCATGCAAACAGTGAGACAGAAGAAAAGATGAAATCAAAAACCTGTCTGCCCCTTTGCAGAAAAGGAAAATCTGTCCATCCTCAACCTGGACAATGACAGACATTCGTTTCCTCTTACTACTGAACTCCAATAGGTTAAGAATCTTGTACTCCCTGCATCACACCATCATAGAAAGAACATGATTCCATTGCTACGAAATAGAATGCAATAATAGTTCATCCCGCAAGCATAAAAAAGCCAACAGTTTGCCATATTCTCACCTCTCAACTGGCTGGCTATAAGAGGGATACTGCTCTCTAATGAAGACACTAGTCTGAGTTCTTCTACAGAACTCAAAACCAAACTCCCTTGCTGCAACAAGAAATGATCCTTCATCTGGTGACTCTGCTTCATAGTTAAAACGTCCTGTTTCCTCATTAGGCTCAGGGATGGCACTTTGACATATTGCCAAGATTCGAAAGAACATCAATATCCCATTTGCATTGGACTCTATCAACCAGTTCCCATTCATCAGACGGTCATCTTCAAAATTGAATCCTCTAATAGGAGGCTTCTTCACCTTTTCACTTTTGAATGGAGTTCCCGGTTGCATTTCAATTTCGGATGTACTGAATTGGTGGTTCGCAACATTTTCCCACGAATTCCGATTGCTTTGGTTTGTGATGTCCAAGCTCTTTGAGTTAAGGTCCATGGCCATCTGTTTTGCTGCTGCGATCTCAACTTCGCTTGAACCCACTCCATACGAAACCCCAGCAATGGAGCATTTGAGAAAGTCCATCTGGTTACAAGTGAGAGTGCCCGTCTTATCAGAAAGAATGGTATCAACCTGACCCAGTTGCTCATTCAAATTTGAGGTTCGTGCTTGAGCTGGATTGCCAGTATCCTCATCATACATTTGAATGTCCTGGTTTATAAACATCGCCTGCAAGACCTTCACAACCTCGATGGAGACATAGAGCGAGATGGGTATCAGGTACCCATAGAGGATCAGGGCTGTAATCAGATGAAATATACCAGAGAGAGATGGCTTTGAAGGGTCATAGAGGTTTTGTGGTTTATCAGGTCGCATGTACCACCAATTAGGCATGTCAAACTTCGTCTTCACAGCAAAACCAATAGAACTGATGAGAGAGATAAGCACAAGAAGAGTAAAAAGGACATATATAATGTAGTCCATCTTCTTCTCGATCATGCTCCTTTTCGAGGGGGATTTCGTGGAATTCTGCATAACCTTGGTGTCATGGCCGGTGAAAATCACAACTCCATAAACAAAAGCCGTATTCCGGAGCTTTGAATCTCTAATTAGTATTTGAGCAGGGTCAAGAGCATAGACCTGCCTGTCAAATTCAAGATTACCCACGAACGTGTAGAGCTTAGGGTTGGGATCCTCACACCTAATTGTTGCAACAAAATTCTTGAATGCAGTGTCCTCATCTAAAGGTAAGGTGACCTCAAGAGCCCTCTTAACCTTGAGGTTGGTCTCCCCATCCAAATTCATGGTCTCAACATAGCAAATCCCATCTTCATAGCTTGATGACAATAGTAGAAGATCAGCAGGAAAGAACTGGTCCTTCTCTACTTTCACCACATCCCCAACCCTCAGCTTCTGCCAACTCTTGTACCCAAAACTCCCTTCTCCTTTGTGTACACTAACCTTTCGACTATTAACCTTCATGTCCTGGATAAATCTCCTCCAATCTTCCAAAGCCTCCTTTGCCATACTCAAACCCACAACAAAAGCCAGTGGAACTATCATGCTCACAGCGGTGAAAGGGGCCACAGGTGTCAAAGACAGCATTGCAGCCAACAGAAAATATAGATTGGCAACGCGACGAAACTGCTCAAAGATGGCTTTTGGAAGAAAGGTTATAATGTTATACTTGGTTGTGGATATATAGTTTGATGGGTACTTGATGGGTTTTGTTTTGTGCATTTTGGGTTGGTTGCAATATACAACCCGAGAAAATCCTGGGCCCTGGAGGGAGTGAGGGCCCTCGGACTCTAGCACACTTGGCCGGACACATGAGAAACTGTAAAGGTTGCTCCATCGGAGCTTCCCTCTCCTCCTCCCAGCCCGAGGCATCTCCCTTTCTCTCAACTCAATTTATTACACGGCTTTGCATCTGATATGTCAAAGCCCATTGTTAATAGACAGACCTTATATCGCCCAGAACTAATAGACAGACCTTATATCGCCCAGAACAAATTCCAAACACTCGAGCAATTGTTATTGCAGAGAATAGAGGCTCGATAGATAATAACGTGGTTAAACCTGTAAGTTTCATTGCAAAGAAAAGATACTGAACTGGTAAGAAAGGGTACTTATCCAAAGAAAAAGAAAAGAATATATATATAAGGGTGAGGTTTATATAAGGTGACCACCTTATACTATACAAGTATGGCGCACCTCTAAAATTTGCCAAAACATGTAGTTCCGGTGTTGAAAACCATACGATGGCTTCAAAATTCATGTTCAACTTTAATTATGAAGTTTAAAATTCTAAAAACAGTGTAGAGCGAACAAATCTATAAACACTTGAAAATCTTGAAAACATACGGTCCAGATAAATTGTTACAAGATGCACTATTTTCAGAGCTTGAAATTCTTTTTTTTTTCTTTATATCCATACATTACAAGGTCGAGATGATCAATTGGAAGGTTTTCCAACTTCAAAACACTCTTTTCTACTAGATTTTTGAGGTGCACCTTAGTTCTATGGCATAAGTTTACAACCTTATATATATATATATATACAAATTCCCAAGCATGCAAACGAGATTACAATACAGAAACAAAATTGGTGCACTAATCTAACATATATAGAATTTTGGTAATAACCGAAAGGAAAGTCTTGCACTGATCTAATTGGCTCGTCTCATGGCAATGACTGCTACTTTCTTTATCTTTATGTCTTCTTTTTTAAGTTTTTTACTAGTCTAATAAATAGGTCATGTATTTCTTTGGTTACCTCACATCTTTCAAACAGAAAAGAAACATTATTAAGCAGCACTGTTTTTTTCTTCAAGTACAATTATTATGCATCAATCTTATTAGATGTCAAAACATTGCTCAAAAAATTGAAGTTGCAGATGAAGTTCACAGGTGTGAGTTTTTCCACTAAATAATACCAGACTCCAACCAGAAGGATTGCTCCAAGAAAGTAAGAATCTCCAAACATGAGAAAGAGAATATGCATACCATAGTCTATGGATTGTGAAAACCCATAATCTGAAATCAGCTCACCAAAGAACAAGACATAATCCCATAATGGTGGGTACCCCACCCTCTCCATCATTGTCCGTCAATGCAATGGATGGTGATAAGAAAACAGACTATAGTTTCCAATGTTCTATTTGATAACAATATAATACCCGAGAGAACATAACCCACCAATGAGATTTGTGAGCTGATTTTTACTGAATGTTCTTTCTGTGGTGGCCACTATTATTATGACAATTTTGAATATATTCCTGTATAATTTATTTGCCGATACTGATCAAATCGTTCATTATATTCTAGTATAATATTTGTATAACTATCAAAATGGTTTCGTAAAAGAATAGGTAGTAAAATTAAGCACCTAAGTTTTGGCCACAACAAAGTTCACGTCTATGAACGGCTTTCATTACACAATACCTAAGAAGAAACAAATTAAAAGGGTATAACTGAAGGAAGAATATTTCTGTAGATTCCGCAGAAGAAGATATTTTCATTACTCAATATTTTATTTTATTGGTTACAGACAAATTCTGGACTAATTACTTCAAGTATGACTACTATAACACATTCTATATTGTACACAAAGAACTTTTTTTTTTTTTTTGAGAGTCTTGTATACAAAGAATATTATTCTGAAAAAAAAAAGAGAAGTAAAATGTTTACACAACTATAGCAAAAAGATTGTAACCACTACTTTCACAATTTCTAGTGCATCGTCAATCACAATTACAAAACATAGAAAAGAAATTTTTTTGATTCCCCATTTGTCGATCAAAAACATCCAAAACAAATGCACAAACACAATATCTGGATTCATCAATCAGTTTTGAAAACAATTCCAGCATATTTAGCTGAAATTAAACTCAACTCTTCCGGTGCCGACCTTTCAGATCTACCATTTTGGATACATTAAGCGAAACAAGTTCACAAAACAAAGTTGATTTCAGATATTTTATACAAGATCCCATACGCCTCAAAAGAAACTCACATGGATTTTTTTTTTGTTAAAAAAATTACGGATTGAGGTAATTTTGCAGCTCGGAGTAATCAATTTTCGGAACCAACAGAGAAAAGGCAAGAAAAGGTTGAATTTCTTTTGATAAATGCAAAAAAAAAAAAAAAAACCTTTCAAATTAAAACCCATTTCCAATCAAGAACTCCACATTAATCTAACAAATTTTTGATAGGTAAACCCACAATAGCAACAAGGAGAGGCAGAAAGAGACACTAAGGAGCTCAAAGCTTGAAAAATAAAAATCCACCCCTTCCCCATAAGAAACTTAAACACATTATAGTTCTTAAATTGAACAAGACACCAGAAAATTTCGTAAAGCAAGCCCCATTAAATCGCCAAAAATGCCCCTGCATTGATGAGGAGAGCAGAGATTCTAACAAATACAACAATTAAGATCCTGAATAATCTAAAAATTACAACCTCAATTTCCATGAACGAAAGAGAGAGAGAAGGTGAACCTGGAATCATGAGACAGAAAGAGCATAGATGGCGCAGGGCGTGGGCAGGTCGTCAATCATCTGAGGATTCCGGTCGGAGATCCGGCGATGAGACACCGGATTCCGTCCGTGCTGAGGCCGGAATTAGAGGAGTGAGAAAGAAAGTGAGGGGCAGAGAGAGATAGGGAGCGTGGCCTGCCCCAAAACAAAGAGAGAGAGAGGGGAAGGTGAAGTTTTAGAGAGACAGAGAGGGAGACAGGTGAATTTTTAGGGTTTTTGTGGGCGAAAGATCAGGGGCTCTGAGGTCTGAACCCACGTTACGCGCACGGAGAAGAGGAAGAGAGAGAGAGAATCTTGCTCTTGCTCTCGCTCTTTCCCACGCAATTTTAATCCCCGTTCTCTCCCTTGTTTCTCTCTCTCTATGGGCCAAGTCCATTACCGGCCCCGCACTACATTTCGTAATGCCCAACATGCCCCTATATAAAACTCTTGAGCTTCGTACCTCCCTCTGTCAAAATTGAGACGTTATTAAATTTTTTCTATTTTTTATTTAATATTACTAATCATTAGTTACACATAAAAAATGTTTAATAGTTAAAGTTTAGGTGTATTTTACTTAATAGTTTATTTTGATGGACAGTTTGCTCCAGCCGGAGTATAAAATCGTTTGGCAATTTTTTCTCAAAGGAGCTTGCATTCAAATGGAACTATATGAGTAAAAGGGAAAGCAACTTGTTTTGGGTACAAATCTTGTGACAATCATCATCCTTCTTTTAGGCTAAATTAATTGAGCTAGGAAAAATTATTATTGTTATTAAGATTTAGGATAAATAGCTGAGATCATCATTTTGGCTTTTGAGAAAAAGATCAATAACCCTTTTATATGCACAATAAAAGTAAAATTAAAGAGAGATTCTTATTTAATAAGAAAGTCCTTTTAAGAGGGATTATAGTATTCAGAGAGGTCATTGCATGACTCATGAAACTTAGCCTTGAAGTTTCTAGGTGAAATATAGGAAAAGGAAGTCAACCATAAAAATAAAAATCAAATATAGAATTCATCCTTTTTTTTTTTGGTAGGAATTGAGCTTAAGATGTAACTATGGAAATCACCAAGCACTAACCAATTAAGAACAAGCTCCTTTCCCATATAGAATTCATCCTTGGTTAGAGAAAGTTGCATTTTATCTACATAGGGGTTGTTTCTTTTCTATCCAAATTATCTAAGCCAAAAAATATTCTACTCCCATTGCAATAGAATGTCCATTTACTCCCTGAGGTACAACCTCATTTAGAAATAATTTTAGAACCCTAATTTTGGATGTATAACCTCTTCAGCCCATAGATTAACTTGAATAAAAAAAAAAAAAAAATCTAGTTGTACCCTATATGCATTTGAAATAACATAATGATTAAAGATTGAATAGAGACCATCCAATTTTTAAGGTTAAAAAATTCAAATTTTAATTTTATTTTTATTGAGAATAATCACCTAGTAATTCTTAAGTGCTTCTCAAAATTCCATATTAAAAAAGTCCTACCAAATAGGTCTTCTGATAGAGGAAGTAGAAGTAAAATATGCTCCCAAGGGAGCATAGTATAGCTGCTCATTACCTATAGCAATGTTAAACAAACCAGCTCGATCGAACCGGACCTGGCTAGGTTAAAAAATTATTCCCGGGCCAGGTTAACCAGAATCTGCTCATGGTGGCATGATGGTTCATGCATGTTAAGGTTTGGGGCTCGAATCTACCCTTGGTGCTCCGACACCTGACCCTCTCTCTCTCTCTACTTAAAACTGGTCCATTGGCAAGTCCAATTAAACCCAGATTTGGTGATGAAGTTACCCAGTTTAAAAAAAACATTCACAAAGAGTTATTAAAATTTTCAAAAAATAAGAAATTTATTTGTAATGTGTTTTCAATGTTTTCTATCATTTTGGCAAAGATTATGTGTTTTAGCCATGAATACTTATAATTCTATATTTTTCCTTTTTTATTAGATTATTTCTAAAATACCCGGTCACAAATTCATATTTCAAAGTCTATTTTTCACTACTTTTTAAAATTCATTTAGATGTGTTTTTTTAAGCATATTTTTCGGATTTTCTGTATATTTTTATTTTTTAAAACACATTTTTGCCTAGCCGATCTTTACCTAACTCGCACCCAGATACCCGGACGGACTATATACACTAGACCTAAAGAGAGAAGTATGGAAGCTCTCTAATGCGCCTTTCAATAAATTTACGGTGTCTCATTTACGAGAGGCTCAAAGCAATTTAATGCATTCTACATGCAGGGCAATGTAAGAAAACGCAAGGACAAAATGTGTAATTTAACGATTGCACTTGTGTTTCAGGAGATGAGCTGGCCAACTTTGCTGACTAGTCTTGGAGAGACAAGACCGTCCTACGTGGCAAGTCAGCATTTGCTTTGCACAGCGTGACTTTCCTCTCTCTCTCCCCTCACCACGTATCATCGTCAACTACAACTTAGAGAGAGAAAAATAAATAAAAATAAAATAAACGAAGGGGACGTTTGACAAACAGGACTCGTGCGGAACCTTCTTACGCCATGTTCCGTGTTTCATAAAAAGAAAATTCACGTCCTAATAAAAAGAGAGATTGGCAAGGGAAATAAGGAAATTCAATTAAAGGGCTGCTTATTCTTACCCACGTTTTCTGAAAAATTGTCCCCTCTCTCTCTCTCTTTCTGAAAACGAGACATGAATGCGTAGTTGATGGCTAAAGTTATGAGACATGTTCTTCGTTTTTTCTTTTTTTCAACAAAATTTGAGGTTTGTATGAGGTGCCCATTTTATAGTATTGTACAAGTAAAGTACATCTATAAAATTTTGTTATAAGATGTGGTTTTGTTGTTAAAAACATTACTACAGCTTTGAAAATCCACGTGCTAACTCTGATTAAGAAATTTAAAATTCAAAAAAAATAAATACACATGGAGCATATCTATAAATAGTTGAATTTTTGAAAATAGACTCTGAACATAACTTGTTACAAGCACTATTCATAGGATTTGAAATTCTTTTTTTTTTTAGATATCTATAGATGTTGAGGTCAAAATGATTAATTAGGAGGTTTACCAACTTCAAAAAAACTCTTTTGTATTGAATTTTTGAGGTGCATAATATTTTTATAATATATTTTGAGAAATGATCTTGTCAAATCTTTTCACGTCTATCTGTATAGGTAGAACTCCAAAAGATCATCATTAAATTTGATATAAATATAAAAAATCAAATCTCACACCCATACAATAACTTTGTTAGAGATCTGTATCAAATTTAATAGTGATTGAAGTCCTACACAAAGATATGAGAGGGTCTCGATCATTACTCGTATAAAATTACAACCTTATAAAAAAAAATTTACTTTAATAAAATGTAAATTACGGTTTTCTTTATTCATTAGGGTGGCGTCGTGCTGTCAAGAAAAGCCAAGCTCTTCACATGTACCATTTCATCAGTCGCTTTCAGAACCAAGGAAGGGCCGGCAATTCTCTGTTTGAATTAAGTGCCGATGCCCCACTGCCTTCATGCAACTGTAACGCCTCATAAATATTGTAAGCATTTGGTGAGTTGGCTGACACGTGGGCCCACCCAGGTTTTTAAAACATCTAAGTTTAATTTTCGTAGGAAAAAGGAGTTGGGTTGTATTGGTAGCACCCCCATAAAACATTGTCAAATTTGCTGACGCCACCCAATGATACTCTCAAAAATAACGTAATTTATCTATCTAAAAAATGGGTAAAGCCTTGTCTGTTTCCACTGAATTGTCAAAAAAGAAAAAAAATTATTTTCATATATTTGAAAATTTGGAGCTCTAAAAGTTAAAAGTACTGTAAATATGATTGGTTTTGGATATAATTAAAATGGGTGGTCTCAAGCAAGGTTTACAAAATGGCTTGGTGTGACTTGGATCGCCTATCTGGAAAACCGGCTCATGGTGGTTCCATTGGCAATCTGCCGAGGCAATTGGCTATTAAATCTTTAAAAAAAAATAGAGAAAAATTTGAAAACAAATTAAAAATAAAAGGTGAGGCTTGTTCATAGAGGGCCAGTTCTTGATGCTTTCGGGGAACCATGCCAGCCCCTTCGTTCCCAATGCAATTCGGTGAGTTCCAATTTAGATCGTTTTTTTTTTTTTTTAAACCTTGATCTGAAAATAAGTACAAAATTAATTATATTTAAGGTTCAAATTTCTTTTTCCATATCAAATGCACCTACAAAAATATTAAATCGAAAATCAATCTCCAACATGTATTTGGATAGGTTGGACTCGCGATAAGAGGCAGTCCAAAATACACCAAAACCCAGTAAAAAAACTTATTGTACTATCTTATAAAAATTGGAACGATATAGAGAACATCAAAATAGCCTTATATGCGCGAATCAAGAAACGGTTCAAATTTCCTGAGGGGAAAGATCACCCCTCCAACAAATGAGAAAGAATGAACAATTTATAAGAGATGATAAATACCAGTATAAATTGCATTAGTCACATTAGTAGGCTTTAAGGGTGAGAAAGGTGTAAGGCTTAAAATATTCCATGGGCACTTAACGGTACATTAGCATTGTTTGTTATTGGCAAAGCACATGCCTTTTGCCTTGGATTGAGACAAAGAAATGTCTTGTTTGAAATGCTTGATTATAAAACTTTGGCTTGTGCATAGAGACAAAGGCAATATTTCAAAGAAGAAAGTTGTCAGCTTAAATAATAACTTGATAAAGATGTGGTGTTGGTGTCATCAATTTTTAGAATGATGAAAATTGACCAAATATATAAACACTAGATCATTTGGAAAATGGAAGGCTCAGATAATGTGTTACAATAAACAATATTTTTCAGATTAGAAAATCTTTTATTCTTCATATCCATACGTCTCAATATCGAAATGATTAATTGTAGGGACTTACGAGGTTAGAATAACGTTTTTGGATGGGGGGCACCTTACTTTTCACATATTCACACCTTATGTAAAATTTTTCCTTTTTATTTTATCTCTTTATATTTAATATTGTGGGAGTACACTGCTTTCGCGGGGGCTCACTCTGCTCTTGGCCTCTCAAGCAAAAATCTACTTAGAAATATTTGTTTTCAAGCGAAATCCCGGGATCCACTTTAGAATCACCATAGTATTTTCCAAGAAAAGAAACTAGATGTTTGAGTGCCTAACTACCTAAATCTGATCATCTAAAAATTGGATAGTCTCTTTACAATATGTCGAGATTGTTGGGGCATGATGCTAATCACCCCTTATGGCATTCACCCTTTTGATAAAGGGCAATCTCATCAAGAAAATATGTTTTTTTGTTAAGGCCCATAAAAAGGGTTTCTTTGAGAGAGAAAAACGTGGGT